GCCCCTGCACCGGCTCCCACTCCAGCCTCTGTAAACGTGAGGCCTCCTCCTTGTCATGCCCCCGCTTTGGCCTCCAGCACCGCGAGGCTGCATCGCCGCCGCTGTGCCTCATAACCCAGTTTTCTCCCGTGCCTCACCTCCCAACCTCCTCCTTGTCCCGCCCCCTCTTTGGCCTCAGTCACCGCGAGGCTGCGTCGCCGCCGCTGCACCCCACAACCCAGTTTCCTCCCCTGCGTCGCCTCCCCGCTTTCGCTCAAGAACTGGGAACGCCCCTGCGGCGGCAAAGGTATTCGACGATTTAATGGAATATAGGGGAGAAAATATTTTAGGGGAAGAGGTTTGCAGGAAGTGAGAAGAGCAGCTGTCAGACAACTTCCCTAAATTTCACGGTCATCCCGTAAAACATTTACGGGATTTTTATGGGAGAGCTATTTGAGTTGCTCTTATCAGCGCCGAGGCGTTTCTTCTATTAATGCATCTGCCGCCTGCCCACCTTTTGGTCCAAGTTGTGTGTTGTTGTGTTCACACTCGGGTCTTTTCTTTATGCAATAGTCTGATTAAATTCTTTTTGGGGGAGAGTTCATTTTGTTTTTGTTTTGCGGAAGAGTCAGGTTAATTGTTAACTTTGAATGCTGATAAACATAGTAACTGTAGTGCCTTTGTAAACATGCTAGCTATAGGTCCCTACCACTCACGAGGAACAAGCCATTTTTGCCATGTACACGACGGGCCAGTGCCCACATGCGAGGGACACACCATGAAGCAAGAGGACACACGAAGAGGGTAAACGGCCCATGTGAGAAACACCCAGAAAACAGTCGACTCAGGCCATGTGAGGGCACCGATCATACGGGGAAACAAAAGCGAGGGCGAAAGCACTTCACTCCCCAGCAAGATCGACGTCAAGCCACGCTGGCGTAGTGCAGAATCTAGTAATGAAAAGATGTATAGACAGAGCAAGGAAAAAAAATAAAGAGCAACAAGTACCATCCGACCGTTAATCCACACTGCCGACTGGCCGTCACCACCCACTTTACATTTTTGACAGTGGCTCACCACCGCACGCTGGACCGGGCAGCGAGCCGCAGTACTACTGGTTTGGTGGAGAAATAAAGCCGTCCCCGGCCAAGCGAGAACACAGTGCCGCATGCCCGCCGCATCGGCCACTCCCACCCATGCCTGCCATGCCGCGCCAAAGCGGGACAGCGCGGCCCAGAGCTCTCTGCACGCCTTTGCACGAGACGCACAGGACGATCCATCCGTCGATGACTCACCACCGCCGCTTGATGCGAGCAAAATAAAGCCGTTGGCATGCGGACACGGCCCGGCTCGTCACCCCGTGGCAAGGACACTGGCGCACGGTCGCACGCCGACGCGTCCAGAGACACCTCCAGGGGGCGAACGAACGGCTCGATGTGGGTTTGTGTGGCCGGTGTTCGCCGATAAAAAGGGGCCGCGCTCGGGAGCTTGACCGCACTGCACACTACTAACACTCTCCACTCTCCCACGCCACGCCGACTAGCTTCCTCCGTTCTCCTCCTTTGCTTGCCCGGACCTCGGCGAGGCGTCGGCGAGAGAGCTCGACCTCAAGCTCCCTTCCGCTGCTGCAATGGCGGCCCCTCTGGTGCTCATCCTCTTGGTCGCCATGTTCACCGGCTCAGGTCAGCGGCCCCAATCCCCACAGCTCGGTCTGCGCAAACATAGTAGTTTTGCCTGCCTAGATTGAGTTCCTAGGTTTCTTTCTTTTCCATTCACTCCCCAGGCCTGAATCCTTTTGCTCTAGCACTTCTTGAAGGTGCTTTGGACATCTAACAAACTTTCCTTGTATCTTCTTGAAAACTTTTGTCTCTAGACTAGATCAGAGATGTTCTTGCTATTTGTGCCTGGTTTTCTCCATCCTCCAGAACTGTAGAACAAGAAATATTTATTTCCTTGCTGCTAGATTCGAGAGCTTATTGTTGTTTGGTTGGTGACCTAGCAGATGCGATGTACTGCGTGTGCAAGTCGGACGCGAACCCGGTGGCGATGCAGAAGGCCATCGACTACGCGTGCGGCAAGGGCGCCGACTGCACCCAGATCACCTCCAGCGGGCCCTGCTTCCAGCCCTCCTCCGTCGTCGCCCACTGCTCCTACGCCTGCAACAGCTACTACCAGAAGAACGCCGGCATGGGCGCCACCTGCGACTTCATGGGCGTCGCCACCCTCACCGGCGCCGACCCCAGCGCCGGATCCTGCAAGTACCCCGCCAGCGCAAGGTTAACCCCCATCTGCCCACATGCCTCCCTCACATGTTTGTTTGGCCTCGAACATGCTTACTACTCTACTAGATCAGTGAAACTGTTTAATAATAGATTTACGGGCATTTCCCTTTTAATACTCCTGATTGGAGTACTTGAATCTGGGAAGTAGTATATCTTAACCGAGATGCAGTATGGCCTCTGACTGCCCCTGACTGGTGTCATGGGTCGCTGGGCATAGTTTACTTGGTGTTATTAGTGTGCCGTAATCTAGATTCTTCACACGGCCGCACATGAGCCACGTACACACATGATAGTTAATTCAACGTGCCGTAATCTAGTTCAGGGTTCATGGTTACCAGAGTTACCTAGTAGTACTACCAGCATTCTGAAGTGTGTAGTAACCATGTTTCAGCTTGCAATATACCAACACAAAGTTGATCTGAAAAATCATTTGCAAAAGCTGTCAAAGCAGATTCGTGGAATATGTGCCGCGCCCACTAATGACAGACGAATATTACAGTACATCTGCAGCTAAACAACATATGCATCTACACATAGTAGTACCACTACTGATGAACACTCTAGTAGCTGGATGTTCTCCCTTTGCTACTCTTCTTGAGTTCTTGCTTTTGCCCATGTGAAGCAAAAGGTGTCTGAATCGGATATTTCTAGTCCGACCTTAAAGGGAGGTCCATCTTTTGCCGAATGCCACCCGTTCAAAGTTGCATTGAACTTGGGCAAGCGCGTCGGCATCATTGCATCTGCATTATATATGCAATAGATAGATTCTAAGCAACTTTCTCGCTATTTTGAAGATGGGACATGTGAGACATTTCACCGTGCAATGTACTGACCGACGATGTACGTGTGCGCTTTGTGTACGTTTCTTTCTTTCTGCAGCGGCGTAGGCACCGGAGCAGGCACCGGCGGCATGGGAACCGGCGGCACAGGGACAGGTACCGGCGGCATGGGAACCGGTACAGGAACCAGCACCGGAGCGGGCACGGGCGTCGGCACCGGCACCAGCACCGGCGGCATGGGGAGCATGACCCCGCCGGGCGCGACCAGCACCGGGATGCCGGGAAGCCCCTTCGGCGGCGGCGCGTACGGCCCATCCATGAACCAGGACTACAGCGCAGCCGTGGTCGGTCGCCGCGTGGCCGCCGCGGGGCTCCTCGTGGCGGCAGCCGCGCCGCTCCTCCTCCACTTCATCTGATGCGCTGGTGACCACTGGTTGGCTGGCGGAAAGGCGCGTCGGCAATGCTGGCGGGTGCGACGCCGGATTCGGTCGGCGCGGCCGCCGCTTTTGTGCCCGTTGGCTCGCTCGCCTGCCTTTCCGGCGTCGTTTTGATGTTCGATCGGACGTACCAGTAGCCTAGTGTCTGTCTGTCTGCCCATGAGTACTACTCTTATTAAGCTGACCACCCCATGTGGTGTTTGTACGGGTGCGGGTCGTGGTAGAGTTGATGAGATCTGGTAGGGAATTCTTTCTTCCTTCTCGTAGCGGTGACGGTGTTCCGAGACATATAATTATGTGTTGTCGTTCCAACTTCGTCTGTTTCCATGCCACTTTTGTGCCGCTAGCTCATGATCGTGGTGGCGTGTCTCGTGTTGTCTTTGGCGCTGGGCCGGTCGGTCACGGCTTCGCATCATCAGGTCGACCCGCCCACGATGCCACGATCCGTGTGAGCATGCACGGTGGAGTTTTGGGGATTTGCGGTGCGCCGCGCTGCGGCGGCACATGGAGCTTGGACGGATGTCGGGCAAGGAAAAATATCGCCGCGATCGAGGTCTGGTGCTCGGAGCCAGAGCGCAGAGTCCACTTTGATCTGGACTCTTGTCTGTGGCGCGCACTACTGTATCTCGAGCGAACGGAACACGCCGACACCGACACAGGAAAGGCTCACGAGGCGCCCCACTGTGCCTCTGATCTCCTCGGGGGCCGCGCGGTTCATGACGGGACCAGCCGCGGGCGCAGCCAGGTGCGGGCACGGGATTGGGGGTACCAGGCGGTGGTCTTGGGCGCGGTCTGGGCCAACGCATGGATCCACGAGCATGGTTTGGGCCTCACGGGCCCTTGTGCTCGCCGCTCGTTGAGCGTGGGCTGGTGTTGTGCCTTGGAGGTGGCACATTTAGCAGTTACATCTTCTCTCTCGATGCTCAAAAAAAAAAAAAAAAGAAGCAGTTACATCTTCTCTCTCAAAAAAAAATCAGTTACATCGGCACGTCTAAAGAAAAGCAGTTACATCGGCGAAGGAAAATTCAAAAGCGAAATCAGTAGTTCAGGGTTGTTCCGCAACCCCGCCGGCGAGTCCGGTCCGAGGTTGCGGAGCGAGGGAGAGCGTTGTAGACGAAGTAGTCGAACACGCAAAAGTAGATGAACACAGAGAAATATGAAGGAGACTAGCTTTATTAATCAATGATCAACTGTTATAATGATTGCTCCTCGTCGCTTTATATAGGGGTAGGGGATCAAGGGATAAGTGGGTAGACGAACACAGAGAAATATGGAGGAGACTAGCTTTATTAATCAATGATCAACTGTTATAATGATTGCTCCTCGTCGCTTTATATAGGGGTAGGGGGTCAAGGGATAAGTACCCACTTAACGTAAAGTGTGGAACCGGAAGGGGCTATCCCGTGCGATACGCACGTAGTCGCTAGCCCCACGACGTGGGCCGCTTTCCCAACACTCCCCCTTGGATAATTATCCGTATATACATGTCGCAAAACTCCAAAAAACCCAGTGGGAAAAAACATGGAGAAAGAGCATACAGTATACGTTGTTGTATTGCACGAATTGTCTCGTCAAAAACCTCGCGTGAGAAACGTCAGAAAAACTCATTCAAGGGAAAAAGAGCACAATCCACTCAACCATCAAGTTGAGTACTCGATCATCAGGATTGAGATTTTAAACATGAGTTTGTGAAGTTTCTCCCCTGAACCTTGCATCTCTCTAAGTCTCATCATACCGATTCCACGCACACACCTCTCTAAGGTTGATGCCGGTAATGATTTAGTGAACATATCAGCAAGATTATTACAGGACTTAGTATGCAAAACTCTCACCTCGTTCAACTACTGCAGCTCATGTGCATAGAAGAACTTGAGACTAATATGCTTTGTGAGGTTACTCTTCACATAACCCATCTGGACTTGTGCAACACAAGCAGCATTATCTTCATAGATAATAGTAGGGGTTTGTACGGTGTTCAGCCCACATGTCTGCTGAATGTGGCCGATCACTCGCCGAAGCGATACACATTCTTTTGACGCTTCGAATAGTGCCACGATTTTCGAGTGGTTCATGGAAGTCGACACAAGAGTTTGCTTGGACAAGGAAAACGCAGTTCCACCACAAAGAAAAACATATCCAGTCTGCGATTTGCAATCATGCGGGTCCATAGGTACGCAACATCGGCATATCCTATAAATAGATAGGTCTTGATTCCTTCTATAAAACAGGCCAAGATCTTTGGTCCCTTGCAGGTAACGAAAGACGTCCTTGACACCTTTCCAATGTCTTTTGGTAGGTTCAGAACTATACCTCGCAAGCAAACTGATGACGAACGCAATGTCTGGCCGTGTACAGTTTGCGAGGTACATGAGTGCTCCAACTACACTCAGGTAAGGAACCTCTGGTCCCAGAGTTTCCTCCCGCTCTTCCTTTGGCCTGAACGGGTCCTTGTCTGGCTGTAAAGATCTCCCAACCATCGGGGTCTTAGAAGGATATGCCTTATCAAATCCAAATCTTTCCAACACCTTCTGGGTGTAGGCCGCCTTGTGCACTAGAATCCCATCAGGGGAATGTTCAAGTTGCACACCTAGACAGAACTTGGTTTTACCCAAATCCTTCATCTCGAATTCCGACATCAGGTAGGAACTCACTTCCTCAATATCCTCAGGCGTACCGATTATGTTTAAATCGTTCACGTACACCGAGATTATACAGAATCCATCTTGGGATCACCGTATGAAAACACATGGGCAATCTTTATTGCTCGTGTAGCCCTTCTAATGAAGGAAATCACTTAAGCGATTGTACCACATTCGACCAGACTGTCTGAGTCCGTACAGTGCCTTTTGAAGTTGAACACTTTATAGACCCCTGTTTGCTCTATCATGGTTCGGAACAGTGATACCTTCTAGAACCTTCATGTATATGTTCGAATCCAAGTTACCATATCGGTAAGCAATGACAACATCCATTAGTTTCATTTTCAAGCCCATGTTTACTGCCATCGAGATCAAGTATCTAAAGGTAACTCCGTCCATGACCGGGGAATAAGTCTCCTCAAAATCGACACCTGGTCGTTGAGTGAACCCTTGAGCGATGAGCCTTGCTTTGTACTATACTACCTTATTATTGTCATCTCTCTTTCGAAGAAAAACCCACCTATGGCCAACATGGCGAATGTGGGGAGGAGTTCGACAAACTGGTCCGAACACCTTCCTTTTGTTGAGAGATAATAATTCAGTAGTAATTGCCTCCTACCAATCTTTCCAATCCGATCTTTTCTTGCAATCAGCGAGCGTGTTAGGCTCAGGGTCGAGATCTATGATTGAGGCAATTTTTGTAGCAAAGTTAATGTCGACAATCACCGTTGCTCGGTTCAGGGACTCCCCCGTATAAATATAATTTATGGACATTTCTTCATGGGGCGCATTCCGCGCAAACACTTTCTCTACCAAATTTCCCATTATGGGAGCAAGGTCCTTTAGATTTCCCGCGCCGATGTGTGCGCTCACATATCCGCTGGGTGTTTCCCCTATGGGAAAGTTAAGTCCGGAATTTCGTGCATTGAATTTTCCGTACTTGTGCTAGGTCTCGACTGGCTCCCCGTTTCAATTTTGGATACTTTGGCGACAGGCTATAATAAATCTCTCTTATCATTTTTCGTCGAGCGTCCCCGAGTACTTGGGATTTGAGAAGCCGGATTTCTCGTCCTTTTAGGCCTTTGGACGGGAGCGGGTATATCATCATTTTTCTTTGGTATTTCAACCCTTTACGGTGCATTGCGCGCGTGCACATGCGATTTTGTCATAGTCTTTAAGTCACTAAAGTGGTCAGGCAGTTGATTTGCTAAAGACTGCAAATCTATTATCTTTTGGACTTCTCTCTCAGTCTCAGTAGTGCGCAGGTCATGAGCGTGGATCCCCGTGGCTTGCCATGTGATTTCTTGACTTTTAGCATCAAGGGGTTGATTCTCTCCTCCTAAAATCGGGAAAAAATTCTCGTAAAAAATGCAATCAACAAAACGAGCCGTGTGACAGTCACCTGTCATGGGGTCCAGATACCTGATTATGGACCCAGTCTCATAACCAACGTATAGCCCCGACTGATGGAGCGGGCCCATCGCCGATCACTGAGGGGGTGGTATTGGTACATATACCTGGCAACCGACCCTACGAAGGTGGGTAATTTTCAGTGCCGACCCTTGCGTAAGTTAAACAGGAGAGTGGATGTTGTAGGCCGACGGTCTAAAGTTGATGAGATTGGCCGCGTGTAACACCGCATGGCCCCAACGTCTAGTTGGTAAATTACAACCCTGAAGGAGCGATTCAGCAATGAATTTAATTCTTTTAATCAATGCCTCGGCAAGTCCATTTTGTGTATGAACATGCGGTATCGAGTGCTCAACTTTGATTCCCATTGTCATGCAATAATCATTGAACGCCTTTGAAGTAAATTCTCCGACGTTGTCCATTCGAATAGACTTTATACGATAATCAGGGAAATTATTCCTCATTTGTATGATCTGAGAGATCAACTTTGCAAAGGCATGGTTTCGTGTTGATAGCAGGCAACATTGGACCATTTAGAGGAAGCATCAATGAGCACCATGAAGTACCGAAACGGCCACGTGAGGGGCTGAATTGGACCCCATATTTCCCCTTCGATACATTCCAAGAACGCGGGGATTTCATCCCTCACCTTGAGGGGTGATGGCCTAATGACTAACTTCCCCTTAGCGCATGCAGAGCATACGAAATCATCGGGATACAGGAAGTTCTTCACGTTAACATTGTGACCATGCGAGTTGTTAATTATATTTCTCATCATCCTAAGTCCGGGGTGGCCTAACCTATCGTGCCAGAGGCAGAAGAGTTCAGAGCTTCTAAAGACGGTCTTGAGGGTAGTGTACACGGGCGGTGCTACTATTTTAGTGTAGTATAACCCTATGTCAAACGAAGGAAGTCTTTCGATAACATGTT